TGAGGGTGCATAAAAACTCCTGCCACGTGGCTCCTTCCATGCAACAGTATGAGCAGGAGTGCCACACTCCGTATTCATGGGAGTTGGAGGACATGGGCTCCTACGGTCCAGCCTGGAGCCACCTTTTGACTGATAACGCTTCACTGAACATTCACAGCCCATGGACGTACCAGTCCCAGGGTAAACTGAGGGCCTACCCCATCTGGGGCAGTGTGATGCTCTACAGAGGAGGAGGGTTTGTGGTAGATCTGGGACCAGATATACATAATTCAAGCAGGTAGGCATTATAATACATTCAATTAACTGAAATTAACTCAAAAGAATGACAGACGTAGTTGACTGACAGAAGATAAATCATCAAAAATTGTAATAATCAATGAGAATTTAGTTTTAAGGTGTAACATTTATAAAATTATTTAACCATGTTTTTCTCTTTGTAGATCCCTTCAGTATCTTTATGACAACACCTGGTTTGATGTGTACACCCAAGCAGTCTTTGTGGAGTTCACTGTGTACAATGCCAACGTCAACCTCTTCTGCATTGTCACACTCATGCTGGAGACCACAGCCATCGGTAGATAGCGCATGTTTAGCTTCTGTGTGAGAGCTGCACCGAAACTTTAAATATCATAAGAATCATGTTGTATGTCACTTTCGCTTCTCGCAGGAGCTTTCCTGTTCCGCAGTGAGCTTCAGAGCGTGCGTCTTTACCAGTCGACTGGCGGGCTTCACCTCTTCGTCATGGCCTCTGAAGCCATCTACTTCCTCTTCATCATCTATTACATGTTTGTCCAGGTATGAAATCATTATTGAATCTAGTACCATTACTAGTAATAATAATTAAGTTGCTCACACAGACTCTCCTCCTGACAGGGAAAGCTGATGAAGCAGCAGAGATGGGCTTATTTCAAGAGTAAGTGGAACCTGCTCGAGCTGGCGATCATCATTCTCAGCTGGAGCGCGCTGTCTGTCTTTATCAAGAGGACTTTACTGGGAAAGCGGGACATTGAGTACTACCAGGACAACAAAGACCAGTAAGCAAATAAGAAAAAACATAGAAGTATATATTCAAGATTCTTAAAGTTAGTATGAACAACAAGTTTCATTCTTCTATTGTGAATTTTGCTTATTTATTTTCAATTTTTTAAAATCAAATCATCAAATCAATGAATAGAAAAAGATTATAAGTCAACTATAATTTCCTCAATTTATTGAAAACATTTTTCAATAGATTGTTAAAACAAGGCTATGTCCTATCTTGCTTTGTCTCCAGATATGCGAGTTTCCATGAGACTGCCAAGGCTGATGCAGTGCTGGGGTATCTGATTGCCTTCCTGGTGCTGTTGGCTACAGTCAAACTGTGGCACCTGCTGAGACTGAACCCAAAGCTGCACATGATCACAGCCACGCTGCAGCGAGCCTGGACTGATATTTCAGGCTTCCTGGTGGTCATGACCATCATGTTTCTGGCTTACTCCATTGCTGTGAGCAGTTTCCCACACATATGCTTTATTTTTTTATTTTTAACAGAACAAACTAAAAAGATGGTTATTAACACAGATATAAACTTTCCACGTTTCAGTCTAACCTGATGTATGGGTGGAAGCTATACTCCTATCGCACTCTGCTGGATGCTGCGCAGACTATGATCAGCCTGCAGCTTGGCATTTTTAACTACAAAGAGGTTAGTGTGAGGCTAATATAATTGTACCACAGCAGATTATTACAGCTGACCCTTCTTCAGTGTATGTCCTTCTCCTGATACCTCAGGTTCTGAATTACAATCCAGTGCTTGGTGCTTTCCTCATCGGCTCATGCATTGTGTTCATGACCTTTGTGGTGCTGAACCTCTTCATCTCTGTCATTCTGGTGGCATTCAGTCAAGAGCAGATACATCACAAGGTAACTTACCCGTGATGAGTGTGAAATGTCTTATTGTACACGTGTTGTTAAAAGTAGTGAGATGTTACCATTACAGAAACAGCCTCTCATGACGTGATACTTCCTTTCATACAGCCTTCAGAAGAGGATGAGATTGTGGACATGATGCTGATGAAACTCTGCAGTTTGTTTGGACTCAAATGTAAGAAACAGGGGGGCAACTGCCTGACTGAGAGGCCAGTTGTTTCATCTGTTTCAAATAATGGACTCTCAACGATTTCTTCTGGCAATTTGTGAGGGTTGAAATGTTCCCACAGAATGCTTTGCTTCAGTTTTTGCTTGCCTTAGCTTGCTTCATTTATTCAACCCAACATGTTGTTACTTTGTGACTGAATATTAAGCCCTTGCTGGTCTGTAAATTATTAGCATTTTTTTTTTTACTGTTGCAGATCTGTCACTATTGTGGGAGAAGCTAAAATCTTATATGAGGATAATCCTCATGCTATGCACTGATGCACATTTAGACTGCAGTATGTTTTGCTAAGTAAATAAATTAAACATCTGTGTTTACTTGACCAACTCTTGTCCAAAATGCTTTTATTCAATAAAATCATTATTCATGGATACTGGTGAAATATTGTATTTGCATCAATCTGACTAATCTGATTCAGCTCAGATGTCAGATTAAATTCATAAACATAAACAGTCAAATCAGTAAGCATGAAGAAGATGCCAAATAATATTCCATTTCAGTGATAATTGTTGCTTATTATGAAACAAGTCCAGGGTTTTGTGATCACTTCCCCGAAGAATTATTTTTTTTTTGTAAACACTGTTGAACAAAAACAGGACGTAAGACTGACCATAATGTCTAACAAACAAAACAAAGTAGCAGTATGAAAATAATTATACAATCATACAACATTAAAAAAAATACGTGTACACTCTAGTACTCTCATTGCCATTCTTGTCTCAAAGGTAATGTTAACATGTATCCCTTTTAAGAAAGTATAAGGTTTCCTGATGTTACGGTACCTCTAACGCTTGCACTTCTGAGGAATGAAATAAAGGGTTTCCACGTTTCCTCAAACACATTCAGTATTCTCAATAAGTTATCTTCTCTAATACAATACATGATGCTGTTTCATTAACCCATTCTTTGATACCTGGCCTATTTGTTTTATTCCAATAAAGAGCAATAAGCTGTTTGGCTTGCAGGATACACATATCTGCAAGTATATGTTCCTTCTTTGGTTTTTAAGTTTGAAGGGTACAAGTTCAAAATCTTTCCAAAAATCCATTATTTCACCACATTCCCAAATACAATGATAAAGGGTTCCTTTATATTTGTTACAGGTAGTACATATGTCTGGTATATTGTTATATTGTTGTAATTTTACTGGTGTCACATATATACGTATTAACCAATTACATTGAAATAGTATTAGACGAGTACAGATTTACAGATTTCTGTGCATCTTCACAAACCGTGTTGCAATCCTCCAACATTATTTCCTCATTCACATCCTTACTCCATGCTTCTAACTTTCCCTTTGAAGACACCTGGGAACCAGAAATTAAGAAATCATAGAAAGGAGAAGTCAAACCTTTACTAAAACAGTCCTTTCTGACCTGTTCCTCCAGTGAGGAGAGGATGGGAATGTCATAAGTATGAGATTTTTAAGTTGAGATATCTAAGACATATATCATACAGCTTAGCAGACGCTTTGTCTGGATGTTATCAGATTCAACAAGATATCATTTTACTTCATGTATGTAGTCAAAATAAATAGTAATATGTAATATGATCTGGAGATCTGCGAATCATAAACATTAGTACGCACTTGATATCTATTGCCAAGTACCTTTAAATGCATTTTTACCATTTTTGCACTTTACCTGTGAATGGACGGTAAAATTAATCAAGTATGTTAGTATCATCAGATTTTTTCCATGTATAATCACTGGGACTTCTGCTGCCACCCCAATACATTGAAAGTTTTTAGAACAACTAATTTGTGATACGTAAAGCACAAAAGAATATATTTTAATTGAACTTAAATTAAAGTTTTAAAAGTAGTTTTCTACAATTGAAGCATCAATCAGTGATTTCTTTAACCTCCAGTGCATTGAGAAGGAGTGGATGTTTCAGTTATGAATATCTTAAAAGAATTTACCATTGTTGTGAGTTCACTGTGTACAATGCCAACGTCAACCTCTTCTGCATTGTCACCCTCATTTTTTTTACTACCGCTGTAACTTTTTAGGGTTCAGGTTTTGTGTTTACATTCATGATATGGAGGTAAATAATCTGTAACAGAAAGAGATATTAATCACTAAATGTAAAGGTCCAATGACAATAAATGCCTGCTGCAGAGCAGTAGGGATGGGTCGGCTCACACAGGACAAAGAGCGAATACACTGCTTGGTTCTTAGTGAGGTGCTGTTGGCCTACTGTGGCTCAACAAGGCTGAGCTTTAACCTTTTACATTTGATTAAGGCACAAAAATGTGTAGCAGGTTCTTAGTCTGAATTGAAATAATAGTCTAGTAATTTTAATGTAATACATTTTTGTTTGGTTTGTTTTAAAATGTAGACCCTGTTATGGTACAGATCTATTGATTGATTGATTGATTGATTGATTGATTAATAACTATAACTATAACTAACTAAAACACACATACAATGACAGATGCAAGAGACAGAGATAAAAAAAACTGTAGAATAATAGTGTCACAGTAATACAAGTACAAAAGTATGTTACAGTATATACTGGTATTTAATAATACAGAGGTATGAGACCTTAGTACTACAGAGATACATATATTTACAGTAGATAAGAGACCATGTAAATCATATTCAAATTTAAAAAATTCTTCATACATCTCATAATCATATATTTTTCCCCTTATTGAACAGATTCCACAATCATATAAACATCTTCATGCAGTTAAACATATGGTGCATTATTGAGCAAGAACAAAAAATATATAAAAAAGGAAAAAAAAGAATAAAATAAATCCTCCTCATAATACTCATGATGAATAATCCCGACGTAATGTGCGTATTGCGTACTTCTGTGTGGGCGTGGCTCACAGCTCGGGTCGTCTGCTGACAACAACATGAGTCGTGGAGGCGGACCGAGGGGGGCACTCAGCAGGCAAGTGACGGCGGAGACGGTTAACCAGCTCTAAGGACAGGGTCAACTGAAGTAGCTAAAGTTGTCTGAACACAAGTTTTAAGTTTTTTTTCTGACAGTCAGAGAGAAAATAATATCGTCCAGCGACGTAACGCTGCATCTGAGTGAGGGTGTCCGGTTTCCCAGTCTGAGGGATTGCGATGCCCTCTGACTTTATCTCCCTTTTCAGCGGGGACCTCGACCTGAATTCTCCCAGATCCTTATACTCAAAAGGTAATTACAGCTCCTATATACATATATATATATATATCTGTTTGTCGCACCTGTTTAAGTTTCCACTCTGTTGTTGTAAGTTTGTGAATGTGTGTTTAACTTATCCACCTACCTGTGTTTGGTCGTAAGTGTTCATGTGGTGGCGTTCAGCCCCCCTTCAGTGTCATTCATCTCGAAACTGCCTCCTGTCACATGCCTGATAATATCGTGGAGGCAAGTACCTACACGCCAAGGGTGTCCTTCAGCTTTTATTCTGGTAAGAGGCGCTGGGTTTTGTTTCCTGGAAGTGGGTGAAGTAGTTTTTATTTATTTTTTATTTCTGTTTTTCAAACTGAAGCCCTCAGCAGCTGCATGCACACCGGTCAGACCAGTTTACTTTCCCCCTGCCAGCTGAAAAGCAGTGCTTTCTATTTTCTGTGGGTGGTTTGAATAGGCCACCAGTGCCCCCCCCCCAACCCACCCACACCAGCCCCCCTGAGGCACCACACATGCACTAACACTGCCCATGAGTGTGGAGCTGGTGGGCCCATAAACATAGACTCTGTCATCATTAGTATGGGAGCCCTCGGGCAGCCCTCAGGTAGAATAACTGAACTCATGAGAGCAGGTGTAAGTCTGGAGAAGAAAGAAAGGATTATGTGTACTGTAGCATGTTAAGTCACACAGTAAAGGTAGTAAAATTTAAGAGTTTATCCATTAAATGATTTCTGCTCAGACACGTATATGGAAATATGTTCATTTGCCTCATACCAGCAGTAGGAAAAGTGAAAAGTTTTTATGTGTTTAGCTGACAGTGCATCCACCATGTGTGCAAAGCAAGAAAATTGAGTTTTGAAGACGATGTCAATATTTGAAATTTTTAAAATAATCACCAATCTGTTTCCGCTTTGACAGTCTCCTCCATCAGTAGCAACAGGACGCTCTACACTGCAGTTTATTTTAAAGAGGGTCGTCTCATGTTGAGGACAGCCCTGAATATACTTCCATTAAAGGACCAGTGTGTAGGATTTACTAGTGGTGAAGTTGCAGATTGCAAAAAACTGAATGCCACTGGCAACTACAAGTGTGTAGGAGACGGTGGCCACGGTGGTTTGTCCATTCTGGGCTACTGTAGAACAAATAATTAATTTTTTTAATCAACTGATTGGAGAGAAAGAAAATGCTATTTCTTTTTTTAAGATCAGTTTTATTCTTAAAACTTTGACTCATCAGAAAACCTGCTATATGTAGAGTCTTATAATTTCTTGTGCACCGTATAAATCAGCTGAAATTCCTTTGAGGTCCAGACCAATTGTAACTTGTTCTTAAGCTAGCTTGTTTGCTTACTAATCACACTATTGTGTGTTTATGTCAGCATAATTGACTGGACTGTGTGTGAGAGGTAAAGTTAAGTTAGTCTTGCATCTCGCCGACAAGGCCAACTCCACCCCCACCCGCCGTTGTCAGTAGGATTGCCCTTTTGGTTGCAAAGGAAAATAATAATAAAAAAAGTTGTTCCACATTATGGACATAACATGAAGTAGATTGTAGTTCCATAAGTTCTGTGTTTTATTGGGTTGTTTTGTCAGTTTGGTTGTTTTTTCATGAAGCTACATTGGACAGCTAAACCACAATGTGGGATACATATTTTTAGCATGCAAGTAGTCCAGGGAATACCACGGAAAAACCACTCACTGTAACAATGGCACTCAGGATAGGAATGCTAGTCATACTACCTCTTGTGGCTGGTAAAGGACTGCGGGTTAATGGACATCATAAAATGTCTTCCCATCAGTGTCACATCAAAGGAATGTTATGGCTTTCCCATAAGTTCTGTCAAACCCCGGTTAACAATTGTAAGACCACAGATCTCAACATAGTTTTGTTTTTTTCATATTGACACCACCAAAGCCTGGTCAATCATTAACTCTCTGGCTGCTCTGTGTGTAAACCCGGGCTTAAATAGCACTCTATTAATATTGACTCTGCTGTGTTAAGCAAACTTAGCGGCATGCGCTTAAAAATACTTGATTGCCTTGAAAGCTTGTTGATATCTGATGATGAAAGACAAAATACTTTAGAGGGAAAACATCTTAAAAATAAGGAAAAGAGTATATGGAGTTCATAAATGTGCTGTTGTATTAGGCTAGTGTCTTTTCTATCATAAAGATCAATAGGTGGACTCTTGATATAATTAACTCATGACTCAGCAGTCTTGTGAAGTTGTTCATTTTAAACGTCACAAGGATTTAGTGTTTTGAAGACATCCAGAACATTCTTTACGTGGCTGTCTTCATCTTTTTAACATCAACCCCAACCTGTTCTGCATACTTAAGACTTTAGTCAGTTTAGTTTGCTCGGTTATTTGCCAGGTGTCACAAAGGAAGCAACCATGTGACCATTCTCGACATTGTATTGGTTTCTTTATTTGTGTATTTCCATTTTTGAAGGCATATTGTGAAGATTTTTCCCATGCCATGATGATCCATTTGCATAATGCATGCTCAACCAGCCAACCCAGGATGAGACACCAATATGAGCCTCATAAATGACAAGAATATAGTACTTTGAATCTAGATACTAGCAATAGTACTTCAGTTCTTGTGGAGTCCTTGATCATGGTTTGGTTCATATTCTTGTTTAAGAGTAACGTTTCAGTGCGAGTTTGGTACAGCAAGTTGGAAAAATGCCCAAGGATACGTTTCTTTTCATCTGGGTAATGTTGTTGGTAAATGTGCACTAGCATAATTATGTCGTGTTAACATTCGAATACCGTACAACGGTGGACCCACACCGACACACTGTCCTGGTTGCAGTTTTAAGGACAGATGTGGGTCTGAACTCGAGCTTGTGAACCTTGGTTGCGCATTATGTGCATCAATCTACATACCTTGTAGTCTACATGCACTGGACCGTGACCCCCATACAGTGACAGTACGACATTAATACACAAACCATCGAAAGCCATTGTCAACCAGGGGACTTGGGTTCTGGCTCTCAGGCTCCTCGGTCATGTATAAATGCTGAACTTGGGTTTTCTGAAGTTCGTCATCAGGACCGTCTGTCTACAGTGCCTCAGTGTAGTGTTGGCAATGTGTTTCATTCAAACTCTCTTGCTCCTGCTTCCCCTTCGGTAAGCCCGGCCGAGGAAGAGACGCATATTATAGCCCCTAAAACATTTGCCAAATGTGAATAATGTGAATAATGTTACTAGACATACATTTCTCTTTTATTCAGTGTGTTCAGATACATGGATTCATTGTGTGTGTGTGTGTGTGTGTGTGTGTATCTTGACCAAAACGAATGTAATGATGCAAATTACTCACACCTCCTTACCTTTTTCTAAATCTCTTCGATTAATCATTAACACTAACCAAACCTCAGTAAAAAGACTAATCAGGCCCAGGTCACAATATCACCTCCTCTGGTATTTACTGCACACTTGTGACTTGTTTTGGCCACGGCAAATCAATGTATGAGTGGTTTAACCTGTTGCACCTGAATCTGATCCTGAAGTGTTCATTTTATGTGTTATTTTTTTCTCATTAGTGTTTTCAAAGTGACTTCTGATAAAATGTGTTAATCCTCTGCTGCCCATTTGTGCTTCTACTATTTTTACACTCAATACATAGTTTATTCTGCACATAAAAGCTAGTGTCAGTAATTTTGGGATCTTAAAAGTCCGACAACAACGTGAAAAGAAAGTCTGACAAAAGTTGGTAAAACACCCAAAATGATATGTGTAAAGAAAAATTGAAAATATCCAAAATTGTATTCATAGAATATAATATAATAACATTATTACTAAAATATATGAAAATTAGTACTAAAATATCAAAGAAAATATACTGTACAACACTTTAAATCTTTGCTGTCATTTGGTATTCTTAATTTATTTAATCTAATTTATTAATTACTATTGTTTTGGTGATATTAGTGCGACATCATGAAATACATATTTGGACTTGCAGCATGACAGTTTTACATACACATACACAATAGTGCATGCACTATGTAGTGCACCTTTGATAGAATTTATGATCCGAAGTCAGGATATCAACAAATACATAAAACAGGTTTGTTGCCTAGTTTTCCAGTTTGCCAGACACGTTCTTTTGTGATAAGTGTAGCAGACCTTTGTGTCCTTCTTCAGGTTAACAGGTCAGTTGTGTTTATGAAATGTAAGCAGATCTTTGCTTACCCTGAAGCAAACGCACATCAGCCGTTGAATGGAGTTTATTTTCTGATAATGTTGCTGTGGAGCAGGGTATCACTTAGAAAAACTACAGTGGTGTACAAAGTGTAACAAGATGCCATTTATCTTGAGGCAGCACTTTTGCTGTTTGTTTTATTTCTGTGTCAAGCTGGATTTCTGCTTCTCCATCTAAGCGTTTCAGTGTTTCTACTGTAGTGTCTCCGGCATATGGATTGATTTGTAGTCCAGCATATAGGTTTTCTGTTTATTTATCTGTAGGTGATGTTTTCTTCACAAGCCAAAATGGAGAAGAAAATATGCATTTACAGATTTAGCTAGTTTAATGTTGACACAGTCGCTTTCTTGTCTGAAGGAGGAGTGCAGGATGCCATGATACCTAATGCTTTTGCTTACAATCATCTTGTGGAGGATTTCTAACGCTCTTCTGTGAAAAGCCCAAAGCACCTGTGAGATCTAACATCCACCCCTTGTGTTTCTCTCCGGAGCAAGATGATTCTGAACTAAGACATTAAATATTAAGTGTGGTGAATCTTGGCTAGCAGGAGTCTTTCCATTGGCAGATTAGAAGCAGCAGTTAAGGTGTCAGGAGCTCATAACTCGGCTGTACACACCATGTTTGACGCTGCCAGGGTATTTCTTGGCTGAAATGAAGGAAAAGGTGGCACGTAAAGTGGGACCTATTGAACTGTCATTTATTGTCATTCTTTATTGGAAAAGTAAAAATTTTTCCTCTACCAAAGCCTAAGTACATGTGTGAGGTCCCTTCAGCTTTCCTGTCCTAAACAGGAAACACTGTAATGTAAAT